ATTAAATAATATAACAAATGGAACAGACTTGATTCTCTTTCCCTCTTTAACAGTTAGATAAACCTGACGAGCATTTGTTTGTATAAAGCAATTTATTTCGGGCTTTTGTTTAGGTTACAAATTTCACAAATTATTTTAATCTGATAAAATATGTAAAAAAGTATCTTAGTTGTAAAAACCAATTACGGGTGCGATTATTCCGAAAAAGTAAACCGAAGGCTCATTAAGTCTTATATCAGAGGATCTGCTTTCCACCAAATTTGTTTTATCGCTTTGTGTTTTTGTTGTATTTGTTTGCTGTTTTTTTTTTACCAGCCAGCTGCAAATTGTTCTTTTAAATTCGCGCGTGCCAAAAATAAATTTCAGCTTAAAAGTGAAACAAAACATAAAAACCGGAAGGGGGCCTCTGTTTCATTTTCTGAGGATGTTACCTGCTGACTTCTGTTTCGGTATCTGTCTCGTTTTTTAATTTTTATGGCCCGGAACCCTTGTCTTAAATGCGTTCGTTTCATTGCCGTTGGCAGCTGTTTGTCGTTTCGTTTTGTTGACCCAAATTTCTTAACCGAAGATTTCTATCAGACGAGCCTGCCAGAGGAGAAGTGCCTTAAAATTGGAACCCTTTTTGGCCGCAGGGTAACCCCTTTTGGTTTTAGTCTAGTGAAAGTTTCTTGGCGCGTGACTTTTAGGAGAAGAAAGCGGAGACCAGCTGTTGCCTAACTGTAAACGGACCGTTAGGTTCCTAACCCCCGGAGAAAGTTGTCGCTTCCCATTAGTCCAGATCAATCTATCAACAAAGGAAATGAAAGATAGTGAAGATATTCGTATTCTACCGTTAGTGAAAGTTATTTTAGGGGTTAGGTGGAGAAAGTATTGCAGATGTTTTATTGTTTCGTAGGTTTTCTCAAAAATAAAATTGCTTGAGTTAAATTATATCACTCCAAGCTAGATACAATAATAAATAATTACATATAAATCGATTTAAAATCAACTATGCCAAAAAAGTTAATTAAAAAAACATTTTTTAAATCTATGCTTTATGCAAATAAATTTTAAATATTTTAAGTATAAATTTGATAATATTTAAATAAGTTTTTTAATTTAAATTATTTAAAAGATTAGTTCTTTTGAAAATTTTTAAGAACTAAATGTACTAAATTAAATAGCTTTTTAAATTACCAGAAATTTTATGATAAACCCTGAAGCCTCATAATTAAATATGCCTACACTAAAGCTTAAAGGAAATCATCATTCCCAGGCTTACCCAAATTACACATTAGATTAGAGAGATTTCCGCATTCGGCAGAGAACTCACCTGCAACGAAAAGGAAAGAAGAGAAAAAATTAATATTAAGTTTGTGGAGGCAAAATGAAGATGAATATGGCCACTCTTATTAATAGACAATCAATCAAGCGGGTTCCGACAAAAGGCCGACAGAACAGACAGTCTTTGTGGGGAAACCCAAACGATCTTGGCCAGCATTTCATCCATGGACATCCATGGACCCCAAGATAATGGCCACTGTATAAGGCCCCATGCTCTGCAATTAAGCGGCAATTCAATTCAGAATCGGAATTGGAATTGCAATCGCAATCGCAATCGCACTGGCAATGCCAATGGGTTTGCGAATGGGAATGGAAATGGCAATGAGAATGGCCAATGGAAGTGCCAAGACAGGGGCACAAAAGGCCCATGGTGCGGAGTCAAGTGCAAACACTTGCGACCTGTCAGCAACCAATGGCCTGCAACAATGGCCTTCTCGCCTTTCCGCTCTGCGAAATTGATTAAACTCATTCATAATGACAACGGCAGCAGCTCCAATAACGAGTTCTATAACTCCAGAACTTCGATCTGTTGCCCTAGCATAAAACTTGTTCGAAATTCAAGAAAGGTTCTTAAAGAGTTACACACTATATTTTAAGTCTAACTTATTAATTGCAGCATTACGTGACTTTGACTTTTACTCAAATTTAAACACTATGTTTAATAATGAATTATCAGCGTATCAAGCCAAAGTTATTAATTTGCATTATTATTTAAGGTACAGTTTTGAATATTCTCATGCAATTTTTGAACTTTATTGAACTCACCGCATTTTTCTTATAATATTTGTTTTATATTTTATTAATTAATAAATTCGTTTTTTAACGTTATGTAACTCACACTTTATAACTAGTTAAATCATTAAAATAATCAAAAAAAAACTGTTTTTTTGGTATGCCATAAATTATAAACACTGTAATTATTATGAAAACCTAAATGTATATATTTCTAGTCAACCCTTTTCATTTCGTTAGCTGGAGTACGCAAAATAAGAGTATCTCCTGTCAGCCGTCAATTGTGGCTAATGAACTAATGGACACCTCATGGCCAAAAGCAAGACGAGAAAAATCACTTTTCTTTCTCTTTTTTTATGCATTTGCTAGTGGCCTGAAAAGTGTGACCAGCTCCGTTTTTGAGGGCGAGTGGGAGTGGCAAAAAATAGGGAGAAAGGAAAGGCGTGGCCTGTAATTTACAAATGCCACACGAATGTGGGGAGGAAAAAAAGATATGATCCAATTCAATTTAAGCGCGTGTCGCATGGCGAAGGTAACAACAATTTCAATGCATATATTTGTATTTGCAGTGACCCAGCTGCAATTGTTGTTGCTGGTGTTGTACAAATGCAATTACAACTAAAACACACGGCAGGGGAGAAACACGGGAAAATCGGGGTGGCGAAGAGCAGGGGAAAGGGCTAGCCAGCGAACAAAACACGAAGAGCCAACATACGAGCAATGAGGTGTAGGGGCGGGGGGTTGCGAGGAAAACATTTTTTTTTGCTCCGCCCACTTTCCCACACCCATCGCATCGAATGACGAATGAACGCGAATGGGGGGCAATTAAAGGGGGTGGAGAAAATGGTTGATTCGAAAATGTTTAGGCCGCCAACTTAATCACAGTTAATTGCAATTAATGTCTTCTGTTCACTTGAGAACATTTAATAAATATTTGGTCACTTCGAAACCACTTATAAATATTTGGTCACATTAATTTAGACTGACTACTATTTGCAGATTAAGGAAATACTAATTACTCATAGACAAAAAGGATAAAATTTATATATATAAAACTATTAATTACATTTTTATTTTTGACGCCAGGCTGCTAAAATAAAAATAAAACTCTCTGCCAGTTTCCATGCCCTTTTCTTTTTTGAGTTTTTTTTTCGCATGGCTCCTCATAATTTTGCATACCGAAAAAGGGAAATGCGAATCAATCTACGCCGTGTTTTAGCCTCGAAATAAGAAAGAGATTGTAGCCGGGGAAATAAAAGGGAAGCACCAGAAGAATTGAAAGGCGTCTGCATTTAGATGAGACAGAGTGGGAGAGGCAATTTTAAATGGGTGGTGGGGGGTTTTGGGGGCGAATGGGGGGCGGTTTTTCCTCTCTAGGTGACGAACGTCATCGTCGCCGCACTCAAATCGTGGGAAAATGTTTTTCATGCTCCTGTTGCTGTTGTTTCTGCCGCTTTTTTGTCGGTTTTTTTTTTGTATTGTTGTTGTTGTTGTTGCCACGTTGCTGCTGTCTATGGGTGTGTTGTTGGTATTGTTGTTGCTAGTTGTTTGTTGGCTGTGGGCTGATGAAAAGGTTTTTTGCCGCTCGCCGCAATTCGTTGCACTGCATTAAGCAGGGCAAAAACACTGAAATATCCCTCAAAAAAAAAAAAAAAGGAAAGGCTCAGTGTCTCAGGAACTAATGAGTCCAACTCATATTCTCAAGCTAAAAATCAAAGTAAATTGTTGGTATAAAGTGTATTTAAATTAAAGTATTAAAATTCAAATATATATAGTTCGATTTATAGAGTAAACTCCGTGTTTGCAGATATGGAAGTTTAAAAGTATATATGTACATATATATTTCAAAGAATTGGTTCCCATGTTAGATTGCCAATTTTAAGTACACATTTAAGTGCCTTTGTCAGATTAAAAAGCACTTCCAAATACGTCTAGTATTATATACAAAGCGTGAAACGCAGCGGTGAATATATGTATAGCATTCACCTGATCTGCCCCTCGTCCATACGGTTTCTTCGCTTATCGCACACGCATGCCGTGACCTTGGTCCTTCCCTCCCACTCCCCCCAACCACCCACTGTCCCACCCCCCAAACGCCCACACGGGCGCACTTTGCCTTCGCGTTATCAGCGGCAAAAAAAAAAATAGCTACGAAAAATAGCAAAAAAAAAATTCCGGCAGCGTTTATCGCCAAAACGGCTGAGCACTTGCATATATGCAATTCCAAACAATTTCTCCGCTGTGCGAGTTTTGTTTCTAATTGAATTTCAGGCGTTTTCAATTTCTTTTTGTCAGCCTGCTTTTGCTTTACGGCTCTTTAGACTGATAATACACAAGCAAATGACTGATAAAGCCAAAGCCGGCAATAATAATAATAATAATAATAGCAACAACACCAAAAATACTAGTACAAGCTCCAACAAAAAAGGCGAATTTATTTTTTGCTACAGTTCAAGGCATTTGCGCTTTAGCACCACGACAGAAAGTCTGCCATTCAATATAAAAAAAAAAAATAAGACAAGAAAGGAATTGTTTTTTTCATTGTATTGCCTTAAAATATAACAAAGAATGGTATAATATACATTTCATTTATTTCAGTTTTTTCAAAATAATAAAAATGCAATGAATTGCAAAACAAAATTAGTTGAAATTGTATTAATTGAATTGAATTTTAAGATTTACCTCAAATATTTTTTCATTTTTTAAACATTAAAAATATAACACAAAATACAAAAATTTGTTAACAACACTTTTCAAAAATATCCATCCTTAATAAGTAAAAACATTTGTATTACAATTACAATTACTGATATGAGTTTCGCAGCCGCAAAATGCATGAACTGTAGAAAATCTTTACGTAACTGCCATATTTCCAATGCACCCACCGCGTATGCTTGACGCATCGCGTATACGCCGTGTGTGTGATCGAGAGACGTTTGACTCACCCTGTTTGCTTATGCAGCAGGCAGCGGCAAAGTAGAACAAAAATAATAACCGCTCTTTGCTTAGATAAGTATCACACAAAAACCAAGATCAGTTTACGGGATGTTTTTTTTTTTTTTGTTATTTTCCCTCAATTTATTTCCTTGGGATATGCATGTGTTGGCCTTTTGGACTTCCTTGAACTTTACATATGCGTTATGCATGCATTTCAAACGTGGCGTTCATTTCTTGTGTGCTCGCCTTTTTTGCACATTACACAAACACCGAAAAAAAAATATGTATATAAAATATTAAATGTGCGGCGGATAATTAGGGGGAATTATGAAAGCGAACGGCACGAACTGAAAGGAATTTCTGCCTTTGAACACGTAGACGCGACGCAGACGCGATGACGACGCGGCAGCGACGCAAACGGCGACGTCAGCAGAAAACGCGTGCAGCCTTGAGAAGATCGCGATAGCGACTGAAAACAGCAGCAAAGTTAGCAAATAGAACATGCAAAAATCACAAGCAAAAATCCCACTAACGCTAGGCGATATTTGCGCGCGTTTCTAAACGCGCGCGCACGCCCAGGAAGGATGTTGCTGCTGTTGCTGCGTTCTGCTGCAGATGTTACCGCTGCTGGTGTGGCTCAAACTTCGCGTTGCAGTCTTATTTGCTGGGAAACGCGCGACGACGCACACAAATAACTAACTAACAGCGGCTGTAGTAAAATGACAACTGAAACCGCAGCAGGCGAAATGAAAACGAGTAACGATAGAGCAAAAAAAAAAAAAAAAAAAAAAATAGAAAGAAAAACAATAAAAAAAAACACTGCACACACACAAGCCGCAGCAAAATAAATAAAATAAAAATTGACGATGGGCAAGCGGCTACGACGACGACGGCAAACGCAGCTGCAGTTGGCTAGTTCTACGGGTCAGAGATGCCAAAACGCTGTCGATTTGGACGGCAAATCAGCGCCTAGATAGCTTTCACTTATGTTACATTACTCTTTCAATTAAATTATTTCAAAAAACAATTTGGCATTATTTTTAACTCACAGAAAGAAACAAGAGCATCTCCTTTCTTTTTTCACAGCTAACGAAATTATATGATTTAAATAGTTAAAAAAAAAAAATTTATTAAAATTGGCATTTCATTTTTCGTACTACTAAATAATAAGAAACTATTTTTTTTTATTTTTTAGTTTTGTAGCCTGTGAATTTTTCTTTTGCTGTTCAGAATATTAAACTACCGATCTAAAAATATAAGACCAAATAGTTCTAGCTTTTTTCTTGTCTTAACCCAGTTCAGCACTGATTCTAACATTCTTTTTGCAAACTTTTCACTTTTAGCTGCATTTGCCGTTGAGATGCAGAGTGAGCGAGAGGCTGGCAGCGCAGCGTGGGAGCTGAACGGGCTGCGAGAGCGACAGGGATGGAGCGAGAGAGCGGGAGGTGGCACTTTGCTGCCACGCTTCGTCAGCTGTTCGTTAGTCGCTTTTAATTTTTTTTTCATTTTGTTTGTATTTGTCGTGTGTGCGGAAGTGCAGAGCGTGGCGTTGGCGGCGACGCCGGCAGCGGCGGCGACAGCGGAACGCAGCAGCGTAAGTGCAAGGCCAAACGCGTGCGAAAGGGAGGTAGTGATGGCGGGAGAGAGAAAAAGGGATGGAAGAAGTGTAGGAAAGGGAGAGATTAGATTTATTTATTTATTTTTTAATTTAATTGTAGTTATTTCATAATTAAATCTATTAGAATTTACTTTATTTTTTAAGAATAGTAAAAAAGATTAAAAAATTTTTTGTTTTTCTCTATAGTTCTTGTAATTTATAATTTTATTTGTTTTTCCTTCAACCATTATTAAACTTTTTTATTTTAGTTTATTATTTATTTAATTTTTGAGCTTTTCTGAAATTTTTATGATCGTAACAGTTACATTGATTGCCTTAAGTCTTAACTTAGTCTGCGATTTTTGTTCTTATAACTTTCCTGTTAATTTTTTTTTATTTATTTTTAAATGTATTCCACTTAAAATTAATTTTTAAATGTAATTTAGAAATTTATATAAGTGTGTTTGTTTGTTTTAACTGGCTAGTGAAACTGATCGCGTTAGAATTGCGACAGCGAGCGAGTGTTTTTCCATTACCACCCACTCTTAACTCACTTGTCACATACACAAAAGGGGGAATTTTAAAGAACACTTAAAAAAGCCAACTAACCAAAATTATTGAAAAAATTTAAAATTTTCTTGGGAGTAACCTGTGTTTCATTTAACATTGGTTGTATATCTGACCATTTTTAAGACAAGTGAATGGATATAGATTGATCATAAAATCCCAAGCGATCTGATTTATTTCCGTGTAGAGAGCCCTTCTCTCGTTCCATTCCACAAACTCTCGCAAAATGCACGCGCGTGCCCTTGAAAACTTAACCCAACAATCAAGCCAAGGCAGTTGTTGCCAACATCGCCCTCCCCGCCGCCCGTTTGATAAGCCTCGGCCACCCACCGTCACCCCCTCAGACACTTATTTCAAACTGTTTGCTGGCAAACAAAAGAAAGTGCAAGAATTGTTCAAATTTTCTTAGCGAAATCAGCAACAAACGAATTCGAATCTCGCACGTAAAATGTTGCTATGAGCCAATGCCCAATCGTTTTTCATTGCCAAACACAATTTTTACACAAATGCGGTAAGGTTTTTCTTTTTCCCCCAATTTTTTTTTTGATCCGCTATTTTTCGCCTAGTTGCGCAAAAATAACGAAAATAATTTGCCAAAAACTTAACGAAAATCACAAGGTATAAGGCGTAGGATCTAAAGTACGCAAGGAATGGGAAAAGGGTACAAGTGGCCTACGGTCACAAGGGGTTAAGGTTTGGCTAGACTTAATTAATGAAAAGTTGTAACAACATTTTTGTTAAGATGGTAACAAAGCCTTAATAAACAAAAATGTATTAAAAATACATTCAAAATAAAAAATAACCTGAAACTTAATACTAATTATTATGGTTTTTTTCATTTTGGTCAATATAAACGAAACTTTTCTGTAGCAGCTTTTTATTGTCCTGTTGTGAACTGTTTGTTTTAAAGAATTTGTTATGTTAATAAATAAAGTGTCATTAATGGTATTTTAAAAAATGTTAAATAAATGATTCATACAGTTTAAAATTTCTTTAAAAAAAAATTGTTTTTTTCGGTAAAATAGCGCATCCATGAAATTCAATTGCGATTTTCTGCGATCGAGAAAAGTGTAAAATGCAAAGACTTTCTAAGTTTGTAAATAGATATATCTACAGACCGATTTACATATCTGTGCCGATCTGTACACATGTGCCGGCGTGTGTTTGTTTATTTTATGTGCGCACGCTGCCAATTGCGAGAAAAAACTACGATGTTCAAGGTCGTGCGGCGAATGCACCTAAAACAACAACAGCAAGAGCAATAAAAATAACAAACAATCGGTCATTCAGACGGTAACATACGCAAAATGTTTGAGTTCTACAAATTGCAAAAACTAGTGCAGGAACCAAATTTGTACATATGTACATACATATAGCGTACAGTAAGGCCCCGGAAATATCAAAATTTAGAATGTGAAAAAATTAGTATTTTAAACTAATTGATTTAAGCTTAAAATAAAACTACAGTCAATCAATTTTATCAAGGCAAACATTTTTGGCAATCGTTTTTTGGGCAGAAATAAATGTTGTTTTAATATTTTTGTTGAAAATAAGAAAAATGTAAAGAATATATGTATATACTAAGATTTTTAATAAAAAAAAATCACACAAAATTATATTAGTGCGGTAACATCAGTTTTGGAAAATGCTCATATTAATGTCTTAAGAAATTAAATAAAAGCGGCATTTAATTTTTTTAGGGGGAACCAAATCAAATTTGAATACAATTATATGAATCTTGTTTGAATCAAAATAAAGGACACAAAAATTTGTTTAAATTTTTTACTTACGAACCTATGGCAAACTGCGTTTAACAAATTGTGACTAAAAGAAAACCAAAGAGTCCTTAAACATATCCGATCTTTTACTGTACGCATTCAGATATTTATACATATATATATTTGTGTGAGTGAGTGTGTGTGTGTCAATTTATATATATGTGTACATATATGTAAGAACAATTTGCGCTCGTCAATTGCAAACGCGTCGCTGCCGACGTCGACTGCGGCAGCGACGTCGCTGCCATTGAATTTTCACTGTCAAGGTCGAACGTTGTTCTGATGCGCAACGCAATGCGCAATGCGATCGCCGAGTGGGAGTGCAAGTGCGAGCGAAAGGGCAGATCGCAGACAGAGAGGACCGATGTGCGAACGAAAACGAGAACACAGCGGAGAGAACGAGTGCACAAAAGCTGTGGGAGAATGCAAAAATGCGAAAGTATACAAAAAAAAAAAGGGGGGGAAAATGTGAGGAATGGAGAATGCACACGGACTCCGCTTCCTCCTCTTTGGCTTTTGGTGCTTCTTCTATTATCCCCACTGCCGCACAGTGGGTGGCATTGAACATTTAGAGGCGATCGCACAAAGTTTTATATATTAAATTATTTACTTTTTTCAAATTTTTATTAAATACAAATTTTATTACAAATTACTTTAAAAATGAGCCATTATATTAGGCATTTAGACATTAAATATAACTTAATTGGAACTAAATTGAAATAAATTGAATTAATAATAATTTCAGTGAATATAACAAATAAATAAAACCGTAAGTATCTTTTTATATTAAATTTCTCATTTGTTTATTATATGCATTGATTTCACTTAAAATATTAAAATATTTAGCTTTTTATTATCATTAAGCGAAGTGTCAATATTTAATTTAATTTAAATACAACTATAGTTGCATTTCCGTTTAGATTTTTGCCAGTCCTCCTCCATTCCCTTCCATTGTATATAATTTGCTTGCCGATCACCCCTTGACCCACTGTGCGGGTGTATTTGCGGGTGTATTTGTGTGGGCGCTGTGGCGGAAACGATATGCGGCTTATGTAATGCGACAGCGACAACAACAATCAGCGGCGACGCGTTGGCAGCGTCAAATGCATACGCACACGCTTCCACCGCCCGCCTACCACACCACCCTTCTGATTCCGATACACCCCCATAGCCCCACATACTGCCCCTCCACCTCCATCATTCTTCACTTAACGCTTCCTGCACTTTGTTGCTGTTGTCGGCTACGCTTTTCATATCGCTCAGCGTCTGTTTTTCTCTGTGTGTACTCTTATTTTTTTTCTTTTTAAATTTTTTTTTCCCCTTTTGTGCTTTTTGCATGTTTTCCTATCGCATTTGTTTTCTCAAGTTCGCGCGCGGCTCTTGTGCAATTTGTCATAATACCGCCCACCCCGCGCACACGCTGCGTATGCGTAATATTTCAAGAGAAGTAAAAAAAAATTGCATCGTTTTGTCAGCGCGGTAAAACGTAAACAAAAACAAGCCGCCGCCAAATGCACTTTTGCCCATAAATCAGCGAAGAGAATGGAAAAATCAGCAGGAAAGTGTGGGGAGGGATGGGTATGGTTACAGACCCCAAGGCGCCACGCCCTCAACTGGGCAAAATGAAGACATAATTTGACATAAGCGATGTTAAAGTTCACCAAATCTCAGGACTCGAACATCAAAAGGCAACGACCAAACGAAAACAAAAACTCAACTAAAAACACCACAACAAGACAAATTAAATTCTAGACTGAAAAAAAAAAACCCCAGAAAGAACCGAAGTTGTTC